TGGGGGGGGGGGGCAAGAATTCATTCCTTTAAAACAATTTGATTTTTCCTTTCATACCAGTATCTCATATTGCTTTGAAGTTTTCCTTTTGTATTAGTTTCAGTAAAGACAGCGCAACACCCTTAAATTGTGAATCTGTGGACATCTATGGACATCTCGGACATGTCGTTCTCATTTTTTGAGTTCTTGTTTAACTTCGATAAAAAAAATTTTGACTACCATGACCGCTTCCGAGATCAGAAGGTTGTTCTAGGTCCCAGGCTCTTTCCGCTCGCAGGAATGTCATGGTACATTGAGGAGCAGGAGCCGGTTTACCTCGACTATAACGCCACGACTCCTAACAGAAGGGCTGGAGTTGTGGGCAAATCCATCCAGCCAGAATCCTATAGGTAAGAACTCGACTGCTCCACATGTCCTTCTGTTCCAACGTGTTTTACAGTTCAGCTGAGAAAGCGAGGGAAGCAATAAAAACTGCGAAACGATCGCTCGGTGAACTTCTTCATGTGACGGATGCTGAAGTCATTTTCACTTCTGGAGGCACCGAGGTCTTCTACTGGATTTCTCAGAAGCATTGCTTTGTATTCATTCTAAAAAATTTCAGACAAACAATTGGGTCATACATTCGGCCATTCAGAGCTTCAAATCCAATCCAGAACATTCCGCAACCATTCCTCATGTAATCACTTCTACCATCGAACATCCATCTGTGATCGAATCTCTCCGTCACCTTCGAGACATTGGGTCTATCGGTTTGTGTCTGCAAAATCCCTAATTTCTTGATTCGCAAATTATGGGTCCGCCATAAGAAACTTTTTTCTTGATTCGCAAATTATGGGTCCGCCATAAGAAACTTTCATATTACCATTTCATGTTGACCAAGACATCCGCCATTTCATGTTGACCAAGACATCCGTGGGAACCTGGAAAAAAATTAAGTTCACCCCCAGTAGGGCACACTCGAACGCAACTAAAAGAAGCCACGGGTTCCGTTGTAAAGTCAGAATGTGCGATTGTAGAACCGAATTCCAGCAACCGAATGTTGCGCAGCTTGCAATGTCACGGCATCGGCTTTCCTATGGGAAGAGGATGTTGACTTGAGATGAGGTCATGGAATAACGTTAGTCCATAATACTACATCGATCCCCTTGCATGCAGAAACTCTTTCCATTAATCGGGCGGCAATGAGAACCCTTCTGAAATAAAAGGCTTGGATTCTTAAACTCGTCCTTTTCACATCACCGAAGCGCTTTACTTCATCTTTTTGGCATGGAATTTGAGCCTGATGATAGATTTGAGGAAGTACTGGATAGTACAGCTGTGTACGCGTTGTGAGCCCCAAGAGGATGTATTTCAGCAAGTCGTATTCGCTACATGTGTCAGATATCCTTTGTACTGCAAGTCGAATGAGTTCTATATTCAAAGATTTCACGAACACAGAAACAGGACACAAGAACTGCTGAGGGTGTGGAACCAGCCTGCGTCGTCCGTGGTGATTATCGTACCGTGGGGTCGAATCAAATCGGAATGGCTTGCTATCGAATGTGTGAGATGGTATCGAAGGAGTGGAGTGGTTTCGAACGGTTGACATTGTATCAAACTGGTGACTTGGTATCAAACTGGTAACGTGGTGGTCGCTCTGTCGCCGTGTTGGACCTCCTGTAGGGGAGGATTAGAAGGGATCGGACGGTATTGGTCTGATAGTAGCTTGTGGTATGTCTCCTCTGGGCACTCTCCGTCCAAATGAGAAATCACTTCATGGCACCTTCCATTCTTTCCGTGGTGATGAAATATTCGTGCAGGCAAGTGCGTCGGCCGGTGAAGGAATTTTACTGTAGCCTGGACCTATAGTTTTCAAAGTAGCACGTGATTTTCGCTGAAATGTACAAAAAACGAATGGCAAGAGAGGAACGTTTTCCAGTCGATCCTCACATGAAGAGAATCCTTTTTTGCAAACCTTGCGTACCCACGAGAGCGCAGCTTCTTGGAGAGGCACCACCTCCTTATAGATTTAAGCAAAATCGCCCCATAGATTCGTAGAATGGCATGCAGCTTGTTTTTATTTTCATTTTCTGTTTCAAAGCAAGTCAGTGCTGTTTCAGAGCTCTCACTTTTGCCAGTGGATCCGTCTAGTGGACAGATTGTTCCATCAGAAGTGAAGAAGCTCGTCTCACCTTCAACCTGCCTCGTTACCATTCAGCTGGCCAATAATGAAACGGGAGTCCTGCAGCCGATTGCCGAGCTCAGCGATGCTGTTCGACAAGCTTCCAAAAACCATGGTGATTATTTGTTGCTTAGTTCGAATAGGTATACTGCAGAAATAATTCAAATATTCACTTAGAAACGACTATTTTTCTTCATTCGGATGTCTCGCAGGCTGTAGGGAAAATAGATGTCAATATCGGAGAGCTCAAAGTGGATGCCGTCACCGTTGCTGGTCACAAGGTATCATGTTTCCCAATAGTTTCCATATCTGCTAGGCCCCACACTTCAATTGCCAAGGTGCTCTCCCTTATCTCATACCTCTTCAGTTCTATGGACCTAGGAGTGGAGCTCTGATAATGCGATCTCAGTACACCACTAAGCTAATACCACTGTTGCGTGGTGGCGGTCAACAGCAGAATTTGAGATCAGGGTAACTTTTAATTAGTAAGATCACATTCAATTGTTTTTTCCTAGTTTCTAGATTTATTTCAGTGATTTTGAGATTGTGAGTACTCTACCTGACAGTGTAAGAGATAATTTGCCAAGAAGTTATAATCAGTATGACATCCTCCTCTTCTGTTCCGTGGAATTCTGGGAAGGATTTATAAAGTACTTAATCACAATTATTATCTGTGCTAATCAACAGCGAGCAGACTATTCTGCTATCCACTCCTCCGAGAAAGAATAGGACTGTGGGTCAAAGAAGGCAGCTGCAGTATTTTTGAGGTCGTCAGGAACGGCGAAATTCTGCTCGGCCAGAAACTGTTCGAGGTACCTAAAAAGGTGGTGGTCAGAAGGGGCGACGACAGGGGTGAGGTAACGTGAAGAACGGCTGTGTTTTTGCCAAGTCCCTATCACCTGGTCTGAGCGGTCTTTGTGGCGTGAGACCGAGCCGTGTGGAATATGGACGGAAACCTTTGTTAATGATGACATGAAGCTGAGCCCTAATATTTTTGAGAAGAAAAGCCAACATTCTTTTCATAAAGTCGTTACCCCACGGCCTTTTTGGATGCACCAATTCGAAAATGCGTAAGCTTACAGTCCTGCGATCTCACTTCTACGAGGCAGTGTGCTGTTCATCACCACGAGCTTGTTCCTTTATTTTTGCCAAATTGTTTATTGATTCTGAGAACGAGCTTCTACTCGTTGACTCAATAGATGTATGTGGTACTAATTTCATTGCAATCGTACGCTCTGCTCATAGACTTTTCCTGTGTGTAACTAATGAAACTCATGGTTACAGGACAGAAAACACGCCGATGATCATGGGCTTGGGAGTGGCCGCTGCTATTTGTGAGACGTCGAAAATCAAGGCAAAACTAAGCTTCATCCGCGACTATTTCGAACAACAACTCAAGGTACCATTGTCACTGTCGTAGTTGAGCGATTAGTACAGCACTCATCTGATTCCAGGAGCTCATCCCAGATGAACACTTGGTGCATTTCAGCAACTCTCCTAGATTGCCCAACACGAGTTCCGTAGCTTTTCCAAAGTATCCCAAACCGAACACGGACATGATGGCTAAGTATGCTAGTTAGATTTTTAAGCTTTCATTTTCTCGCTGATACACCTTAAAATTCATGAAAGACTTTATGTTCTGCCGCCAGTTAAGCTCGAAGCAGGGTCCAAATATCAGCTTCCCGCGGTTATTACACTCTCACTACTCCTTCACTTAATTAGTTCTTTGAGTTGGCTTCATAGTTTAGAGCACAGTTCACGATAGTTATGAGATATTTATTTTAGGTGAAAGCCATGGTGCGGAGTAGTGCAAAAGTGCAAAGAAAGCGCAAAAATTGTTGGGTTTTGAAAGATACAAGGTTAAAAAAAGTAGCAAGAAAGGATGTTGTGCCAGATTGCCGTCTGGATGTCTCTCATTCGAGCGTACTATTCGTCTAGTCCAGTGAATAGTGCATCAAAACAAGTCCGGCTCGACTCGGCCACATACAGTGTGCGCGTCGGCCAGACCGGTTTTGTAGCCCTTATTACGCCCTCTCTAGACCATTTTGTGACCGACAATATCCCACGCGCCATTCTAGGGGGCCACAGATTCATCCTAGAAATGAATCCCAGGGACCATAACTATCGTAAGCTGTGGCTTTATAACGTTCACTACGCTGACCTAGGAGTCAGAGCGTCTACCCTTTCCGATTAACTAATATACTTCATGCTGTCTCGGAAAAATGTAAGTGGTTGACCAGGATAAGTGACAAATGCGATATGGTCCTTACAAATGGGAGAAAAGCTGAGGAGAGGGCAGCGGTTCTTCATGGCCGTACCGCAGTGCTACATCTCTGAATGATAAGTCCCAAACACAATTTACTTCATAAATGTGGCAATATCAAGAAACCCCACAATGAATGCGCACCCGTTTCTTTTCCCTCACAGATTTTCAAGGCCGTTGCGTTGTGGGAGTCAGTCATTTCACCCCATTCCCTGAAGGAAATAAGTATTGTGTCTCACTCAGTCTTGCCAACACATGCTATCCCTGTGCTTAATCACCGTGCTATCACAAAGCGAATTCGTCTTTGTAGGTGCAAAACCTTCTACGCCAGTACAGGAGCTGCTTGCCATTCCGGCAGTGTCAGGTCAGTCCTTATAATTATAGTCAACAAGTTACCACAACTGAAGAGCCCTCGATTCAGCCAAGTTATATTAAAAGCCCGATGAGCAAAAGCAAAGGTAGAAAGATGCAGCTCTGAAAAACTGCTCTCTTTTGTTCGCTATTATAGCAGAAAGAGCACAATTTCCTAAACGAAAACGTCCCTTTTTTTCACCATTCTTTGGACGGTTTTGTCCGTTGATCAAAACCCTCGAAATCTTCAGTGTGTCAACAGGCTTACCGAGACTACGTCAAAAACTACTAGAATATTCCACTCGATCGAAATAGATCTCAATATGCAATACATGCTGGAGTATTTGTTCGCAATCCTCAATGCTTCTGTCTACATAATAGAGCTTTACTGGTTTAGAAATATTAGTATCATAGTGGGAAAGGTGATGGTAATGAAGCTGAAATCGCCGATTTTAATGGTAGTACTGATCTCATCGTAAGTCATATCAATAATCAAGTATACATAGTTACTACTTTCCCTAAAATATGTCTTTTCGAGTTCAAGTGTTTTATAGTATATCAAAGGAAACTGCTTTTCAATATTTGATTCGGCTTGGTTAAAACTACTAAAAAAGTGGGACCTCATTCTATGCTTAAGGACTGGTTCTCCAGAAGATGATGTTCCAAATTCTACGGAGACACCGCGTACGACAAAATGTATTAATTGGAGACTGAAAGACTTTGGGGATCACTTTGAACTTTGTGCACCTCTTTTTACTTTTGTACTTGTGTAGTGTGAATCAGAAAAGTCCAAAAAACTTACTCAGCATTGCATAAAGCATTGTGTTCATTATTTAAAGCAATTTTTACCTTTCGATTTCTTGCGAAACGAAATTCCCTTCAGTCCCATCCTACTGGCTTGTGGCATTTCAAAAGAACTAGCTGAACGCACGATAAGGTTCAGTTTTGGCAGGGAGACCAGCAAAGAAGATGTGAGTGGATTTAGTTCCTCCGTTTTTTTTCTTCTTCTTCTTTGATGGAAGTTTCAGGTGGATCGGGTGGTTAAAGAATTGAAAGCTGTTCTTTTCCTGGCAAAATATGGCAGTTCGCTGATGAATGTGATAAACACAGGACCCGTACCTGGGTTTTGATATCACTCGCTCTCGCTGATATCCTCACCTTGCGTCATTACTAGCGTTGCTTTGTAAGTTCGAGGCTCTTATATGGGCATTTTCTAGTCTGGTCTAGTCTCACAATTGAGTAGCATTGACTGCGAATTCAAGCAAAGCTGTGGTTTCTACCAGAAGGCGCCATCGCAGTAGCTGTGGCAAAACTGCGTCACCGCGCGCAACTACATTGGGGAGTTCTGATATGGTCTTTCGCGGCGACCTCGATGGCACCTCCTTACACATTTGCAGTGCTATGCTTCACGTAAATTACTGTTCTGTCTGTCAATTTGAATAGGTGCAAGACAACAACTAACAAATATCTAACCTAGAAGATAGATGCCAGAGGCTACAAAGATCACAAAGTTCCGGGTGCGCTTCGTTGCCCGCGTCCGTCGAAACTAGGTTACTCCGCAGCCGTCGCGTGCGGCAGGTCAACCCGCGATACTTGACGGATGTCGCAGTTGTCTGTGGGGCATACGATTTGCGCATGGTCCCATGGCAGTCATCTCAAAGAGAAGATAAAATGGGCAAATGCAAATCGTTCGTTTCACTGACACTTGGTGGTACTGTAATGTCACCTCAAGACCTCAGTGGGGTGCGCCGCTCGCGAAGTGGGCGGGGTGACCTACTTCAGACGGACGCGCGCAACGGACGTTCTCCTAAAGTTCCTACATGCGCTATCTGTCGCTTCAGGTAGTGCAACAGCGGAAATGTCCATTTAATAAGGGTGCTATTTGTTCAAATGCTTTACTTTTGTTATGTTGTTCCTTATGGCAAATGTTGGCATTGTTAGGTTCAATGAATATTTATTCATTCATTTACTTATTTATTTAGTTAAGTACGTTGTATAAGGCAAGGTTAAAAACAAAGCACATAAAATAGAAAATGAGCTAGAAACACGGACAAGTTTTGTCGACTATCTGCCTTGTCTGTTAGTTGAGCTATAGGTGTTTGAAGGACGCCCTAGAGCCTCAGCAAGTTGACTTTGCTTGGATTTGCTGAAACAAAGATGTGCATCGCCTGCCTGCTTCAGCCGTGAAAAGGCTGTTTCTAATGGTAGCTTCAGGTTTCGGAAAAATCTATTTGGACTGACTTCCAATGAGAGAAAGGTTCATCGAGATCAAAGGGACGAAATATAGCAATGTTTCGAAGGTGGAATATTTGTCATTTATTTCCTTCACTCCTTTGAAAACCTTGAAAAAAAATGCTCATTATATCTAAGACACCCACCTTGGATGGTGTAGTAAGGAATTCCAGAAAGCGAGGAAATAGTGTTACGTTCAGCCTAGCTTAAAGGCACAGTTCATGATACTTTTGAAATATCCTTTACCAATGACTAGTGGTCAGTGGCCAGGGAAGCGAGAAAATCTTAATGGTAAGTGGTTTTCGGCCGAGGTTTTGTTGTGTGCAGTTGCACGAAAAGGTTACTACAGTAAAACAGAAATGTCGAATATTCACTTCCATTGTCGCCATGGTCACCAGTTCACGGCTAGTTGTTTAATTTTCAACATGTGCGCTGCATTGTAAATGGTGCTGCCTCTGAGATGCCGCTAAAACACGTCCACCTTTGGATATGGACGTTGACAATGCCGGTATTCGAGCCCCTATCGCAATTATCTAGGCTGGTTTTCGACGGGACAGACCCGAAATGGCATATTTGGGAGGTACAGATTCATCCTAGTTGAGAATATTGAAAACCATATTCATCATGGTGCTTTTGAGCGAGGATACTAAGTTGGGCATGGATATTTCCGACCAGAAGCCAATGGTCGGAAATATCCATGCCCAACTTAGTATCCTTGCTCAAAAGCAGAAGGAATATTCTGTTGAATAATTGCTAGTTGCTAGTTGTTGGGTCTTACAAGGGAAAAAGCTTCAACAACAACAGTGAGGACGCTTCAGTAGATGCGCCTGAAACTGCTCCTTATAAGCCCAGGGATAGTTCGAAACGTATGCAGTTCCGCTAGTCTCCATAATTCACCACTATTAGTCTCCGTCAATGACAGCAAAAAGGCTAATTACCGACCGCAGACTCCTGCAGGTACTGAAGTGCGAGGGATTCGAAGTTGTTCAAAAGTCATATATTATGTGGTGAAGCGAGATTCAGATGAGGTGAAATAACCTGCCAAAGGCGTTCTGCATTGGTCGCATTACCTACTTTTTAAGAACTACAGTTTCCCTACCAAACAGTGAAACGTAAAACTTGATGAGAAATACATATTTATTTTAAATACTTTTGAAGCAATCTATTACACAATTTCACTGGGATGACAATACATATATTTGGTTCACCACTAGATTCAACTTTCACCGGTAGATAACATCACATGCAGGGAATTCAGCAAAAAAAAACCTGAGATGCAATTGCTTGAGCTAGAGAGGAATAGTGCCAAAATGGAATTATAAATAAAGACATGCAATATGTCATCGAATTTTATGCCGAATCAATCCTTTCATCATATCGAACGTATTTCCATTATCGCCCACAGAAAATATCTGAAAGAACAACAGTTTTCTCAGACTCATCTACAGCTACATGCATTCTTTGTAAGTAATTGTGCATTTGAAGGAGAAGGAAAAATAAATTTCAGAAGTACCTGACTAGGATTGCTCTTGCTTCGAACTTGTAGATAACCACTTTTATCCAGCCCACGGATGATACCCTTTTCTGACAAGTGCTCTATTGTCACTTCCTCTCGACTGAAATTATTTCCGTTATTATTGTTGGAGAAGGACGCGCTTGGCTTTTTCTGGACGATACATGACTTCTTGTAGTTCTTTTCTTCTCAAGATTTTTCTATGTGCTCTGAACAGGTAGGCAAATAGTACTCATAAGTAAAGGCGACATTGTGGAGAACCTCTTCTCCATGGTGAACAGCTACAATAGCTCATCTTGACGTTAAGGTTCTCCTTTATCTTTCAGTCACTGATTCCACACTTAGTCACTATAACTTACTCATTTAAAACCCTGTTACTAGTGAATGGCATAACAAAGCATGAACATGCCCATAGCGACCTCACATTCTGAGCAGCACTGCCGATCGATCTATACATTGGGCAATCGTATTATGTAATGCGAGTCACAAACGTTCTTATCCTATTGCAGTACTGTAAAATATGTGCTTGCTCCCGTGTTCCCGACGGAATGTGTTTTGTATAAAAGCCTTTATAACCAAGCACTCATTCCGTAACTCGAGGCAGTGACGGAATGAGTGCTAACTCATGACTCCCAAAAGTCAATAAATTCATGGCTATCATCAGTAAACGCTGCACTTTTCACAGCACTTAGGAAAATTAAACCATTTCCCCATGAGTTCTCTCTTATTATCTCAGGTCTTCAAAAAGCCAATGGTTGGTCACCTGTGGAGCCAAAACTCGTAGTAAAGCTTGAGCACTTCATTCTGCCCTTTGATTTCGTGCATGTTCATCCAATCTAAACATGAAAAGTGCATGGATTAAAAATCATCATAAAATAGAGGGCACGGTTAAAACATAAGTTCAATCAAAGACGTACATTCAAAGCGATTCAATGTTTCGGCGATCACGTC